GTGGCTTCGTGTACGTGGTTGAGCTGGTGTGGCTCAGCGGGTTGGAGTGAAATCCTGTCCACCAAAGGTGGTGGGTTCGATTCCCCATGAGGGAACATACCCAGGTGGTTTGCTCCGGTTGGGGCCTGTGCGGGAAGCAATGAATTTATGTTTCTCTCTCACATCGATGTTTTTCCAGCTCTCTCCCCCTCCCGCTGTAAAATTTAAAAAATTGGCAGTCAAGATGCATAAAATAATTTATTGGCTACAATAGATTCCTGAAGACATTGGTGCTTTATTCTCTAACATTATCTAGAAATTTTTAATATCCACAAAAGGGAGAGGAAGACACTCATCAGAGACTGAGGATTGTAAAAGGGTTGGTTAGAACAAGCCATCTCTTAAGTTCTAGATGACACACTTGAAACATATATTGACTCAGTCTTTACAAGTCTTTCTAGAGAGAAGGGAGAGTAATATTAACTAAGATAACATGTATGCATAAGATATGCTTTCTTTTTTAAAAAATAGTTTTTTTATTGATTTAAGAGAGGAAGGGAAAAGGATAGAGATAGAAACATCAGTGATGAGAGAGAATCATCGATCGGCTGCCTCCTGCGCGGCCCCTACTGGGGATTGAGCCCGCAATGCACGCATGTGCCATTGGCTGGTATTGAACCTGGGACCCTTCAGTCCGAAGGCCAACGCTCTATCCACTGAGCCAAACCGCCTAGGGCAAGATATGCTTTCTTTTTTTCTTTTTTAAAATATATTTTATTGATTTTTTACAGAGAAGAAGGGAGAGGGATAGTTAGAAACATCGATAAGAGAGATCGATCAGCTGCCTCCTGCACGCCCCCCAGTGGGAATGTGCCCGCAACCCAGGTACATGCCCTTGACTGGAATCGAACCCGGAACCCTTCAGTCCGCAGGCCGACGCTCTATCCACTGATCCAAACCTGCTAGGGCAAGCTATGCTTTCTTACATGGTAACATTTATGGATTGAGACTGTTTACATCCCTGCTTACCTTGCTATTTTCTTAAATATATTTTTATTGATTTCAGAGGGAGACAGAGATAGAAACATCAATGAGGAGAAGGATTCATTGATTGGCTGTCTCCCGCACACCTCCTACTGTGGATCGAGCCCACAACCCAGGCATGTGCCCACACTGGGAATCGAACTGTGACCTCCTGGCTCATAGCTTGATGCTCAATCACTGAGCCACACCAGCCAGGCATTGCCTTAATATTTTAACTTGTATTCTTTTACTCACCGCTGTGTCTCCCCTTTATCAGAGACGTGTTACTAAAATTCTCCTAAGGATTCCACTTGCAAATCATCCTCCCAAGAGACAAAATATGCTCGACCAACTATTGCTAAAATGACACTAAATGGTCACACAAAAAATCGCAAGTACAATATAGTCTTCTTGTTCTTCACTTCATGTGGCATTACGCTATCAGAATGGATGTTGTCAGGTTCCGTGTTTGGTCAGCAATAAGGAGAATATCCTGGACAGGTTATAAGAGAAAACATGAGAGATTCCAGGCAAGTCCAGGGAGGGGGACCATGCCTCTGGGAACTTCAGAATATATCCCCTCTGCTTCTCTGGGTCAGTATTTGCATTTGAGCCCTGCTGGCATGGCTCGATGGTTGAGCCACAACCTATGAACTAGACAGGGGTCCTCAAACTACGGCCCGCAGGCCACATGCAAATACAAATATTGTATTTGTTCCCGTTTTGTTTTTTTACTTCAAAATAAGATATGTGCAGTGTGCATAGGAATTTGTTCAGTTTTTTTTTTAAACTATAGTCCGGCCCTCCAACGGTCTGAGGGACAGTGAACTGGCCCCCTGTTTAAAAAGTTTGAGGACCCCTGAACTAGGAGGTCACGGCTCAATCCCTGGGCAAGGCACATGCCTGGGTTACAGGTTTGACCCCCACTAGGGGGCGTGCAGAAGGCAGCCAATTAATGATTCTCACTATTGATATTTCTCTCTCTCCCTCTCTCTTCCTCTCTGAAATAAAAATATATATATTTTAAAATATAGTGTTTTTTTAAAAATATATTTTATTGATTTTTTACAGAGAGGAAGGGAGAGGGACAGAGAGTTAGAAACATCGATGAGAGAGAAACATCGATCAGCCGCCTCCTCCTACACACCCCCTACCAGGGATGTGCCTGCAACCAAGGTACATGCCCTTGACCGGAATCGAACCCGGGACCCTTCAGTCCCCAGGCCGACGCTCTATCCACTGAGCCAAACCAGTCAGGGCAAAAAATATATATTTTAAAATATAGTTTATTGATTTTTTACAGAGAGGAAGGGAGAGGGATAGAGTTAGAAACATCGATGAGAGAGAAACATTGACCAGCTGCCTCCTGCACACCCCCCACTGGGGATGTGCCCGCAACGGAGGTATATGCCTTTGACCAGAATCGAACCTGGGACCCTTGAGTCCGCAGGCCGACGCTTTACCCACTGAGCCAAACCGGTTAGGGCTAAAAATATATTTTAAAAAATAAAAATGTTCTAAAGTTAAAAAACTATTTAATGCTTTATTGCATATCACTTATACTTTACTATCTAAAAATTGTTAAAAATAAAAACTTAGACCTTCTACTCAGTAAGTATGGCAGCTCCATATTGACCCCAAAGCTCTTCTGTCCTCGTGTGGCCAGCCTGTCCTCAGTGGGATGTGGCCAGCAATGAAGGGCAGATGTGGTCATTACCAGGACTGTGATCATTGTTTCTTAGGCTCATACCGATGTCAAACTGTAAAAAAACAGCTAAAGATTTCCCTGGTGGGTGTGGCTCATTGATTGGGGTTCCATCCTGTACAACAAAAGATAAGATAGGGGTCTCACTCCTGGCCAGGTCACAGACCTAGGTTGCGGGTTTTAACCCCAGCTGGGGTGTGTATGGGAAACAATCGATCAATGTCTCCCTCTCACATAGATATTTCTCTCTCTCTCCCTTTCTTTTTCTAAACATATGCTTGAGTGAGGATTGAAAAACAAGGGCTCAAGATAAAAAACAAACAAACACTTTATGTCCCAATCTTTTGGGAAAGTAGGTTTGACTACACTATATTCACTCCACTGCCTTCCTCCTTATGGTCTATACCAAGGGTCCTCAAACTACGGCCCGCGGGCCACATGCAAATACAAATATTGTATTTGTTCCCGTTTTGTTTTTTTACTTCAAAATAAGATATGTGCAGTGTGCATAGGAATTTGTTCATAGTTTTTTTTTTTAAATATATATATATTATTGATTTTTTACAGAGAGGAAGGGAGAGGGAAAGAGAGTTAGATACATCAGCTGCTTCCTGCACACCCCCTACTGGGGATGTGCCTGCAACCAAGGTATATGCCCTTGACTGGAATCGAACCCGGGACCTTTTAGTCCGCAGGCCAACGCTCCATCCACTGAGCCAGAACAGTCAGGGCCATAGTTTTTTTTTTAAACTATAGTCCGGCCCTCCAATGGTCTGAGGGACAGTGAACTGGCCCCCTGTTTAAAAAGTTTGAGGACCCCTGGTCTATACTATAGACTCTATACATATAGACTCTATAGGGATCAGATAGTCGGTCCCAGTCTCCTCCAATCCCTATTAGGCCAGTGTTTCTGTACCAAACACTGTGATTTTCCCGGAACTGTCTTTCAACCACTGACCACAGCCCAGCGAATTGTGGAACAATTGTGGCACGTGACACTTTGAGACCAAAGAAATATAGATCCCCCACCAGTGGTTCTCAACCTTCTGGCCCTTTAAATACAGTTCCTCATGTTGTGACCCAACCATAAAATTATTTCCGTTGCTACGTCATCACTGTCATGTTGCTACTGTGATGAATCGTCAGGTAAATATCTGATATGCAGGATGGTCTATGGCGACCCCTGTGAAAGGGTCGGTGGACCGCCAAAGGGGTCGCGACCCACAGGCTGAGAACCGCTGCAGTGCCAATATAATCTACGAGATCTGCTCTGAGTGAAGGAACCACCATGCTACTCTCATAGGTACCTGAGGATCTCACCTGCTCCCCCAGGGTCATCGCCAAGACCCCTCACAGAGCAACCAAATCAAGACCAGAAAGTCTTTCAGTCCTTCCTGGGAGGCTGTGGACAGCGACTCAAATTTGGTCAAAACTGGACACTTATTTTTTGCCATCGCACAGCCTGTCCATAAGCAGAGAAATGTTGAGACCCCCCTTACAACGTTGTTCACCTCTTCATGCTTGTAGAGCCTGAATCAGGTTATACAGAACCCCATACAATGAAAAAGAATAAGCAAGATGAAAAAGAATTAAAAGCCCTGGACGGTGTGGCTCAGTGATTAGAGAATTGGCCTGTGCACCCACGGGTCATGGGTTCGATCCCCGGTCAAAGGCACTTACCTGGGTTGCATGTCCCATCCCTGGCCCCAGCCGGGGTGCATGTAAGAGGGAACCAAGCCATGTGTCTCACTCACATCAGTGTTTCTCTCTCTCTTTCTGTCCCTCCCCATCTATTCTTCCTTTCCATTCTCTCTCAATATCAGTGGGAAAAATATCCTTGAGTGAGGATTAAAACAACAACAACAAAAAGACTTGAAAGAGTAAGACCTTGCCCAGCCAGTATGGCTCAATGGTTGAGCATGGACCTATGAACCAGCTGGTCACGGTTCCATCCCCAGTTAGGACAAATGCCTGGGTCATGGGCTCGATCCGCAGTAGGGGGCGTGCAGGAGGCAGCCGATCAATGATTCTCTCTCATCATTGATATTTCCATCTCTCTCCCTCTCCCTCTCCCTTCCTTTCTGAAATCAGTAAAAAATATATCAAAAAATAGAGTAAGGCCTTGTCTTGGCCAGTGTGGCTCAGCTAGTTGAGCATTGTCTGATGTACCAAAAGGATGCTGGTTCAATTCCTGGTCAAGGCACATGTTCAGGTTGCTGTTTCCATCCCTGGCCGGAGCGAGTGCATGAGGCAATCAATCAACGTTTCTCTCTCCTCCTCTCCCTCTCTCTAAAATAAATAACAAAATATTTGTACAAAGAGTAAATTCTGAATTATTGTATAAGCCAACGTCATGAGCAGCAGACAGTTCCAAGTTCATACACTGGACGGTAGAATATCTCATCACAAATTATCACCCTCGATGAACACGTAGTCATTTCTCTGCAAGCTGCAATTCATTACTGCAGCTTATCCGTATCCAAATTAGTCCTAATAGGAAAGCTGACCCCCTGGTCATTTCCATTTTGCCACAATATACATGAGACCAGAGGTCAGCGTACATAAGCACATTGGGGTGTTGATTATCGCAAAGTCTGTGGACCTGCCAGGTGGGAAAGGTGGAAGGAATTAGCCTCAGAATCTAGGAGCACCATAAGCCGAGAAGGCCTGGGAAAGTCAGAACGAGAAAAATACACACACTTCCAACATAAATAAAACTTATGGGGAGTCTCCCCACTGTGCGTATCCAGATATAAGAGTTTCAATCCAGACAAATGACTCCCCAAAATGTTTCCTTCTCAAGTGTTGTCGCACCAAACAGGAAATTGCTCGTTCCCAGCACACTTAAGGCCTTTCAGCAGTGTGAACTCGCTGATGATAACGAAGTTTGGAGCCGTAGATAAAAGATTTCCCACATTCACTGCACTTATAAGGCCTCTCACCAGTGTGAACTCTCTGATGGTAGCGAAACGTAGAGCTGTAGATAAAAGATTTCCCGCATTCGCCACACTTGTAAGGTTTTTCGCTCGTGTGAACGCGCTGATGATAGCGGAGTTTGGAACTATATATAAAAGACTTCCCACATTCACTGCACTCGTAAGGCCGTTCGCCAGTGTGAACTCGCTGGTGATAACGGAGTTTGGAACTATATATAAAAGACTTCCCACAGTCACTGCACTCGTACGGCCTTTCTCCCGTGTGAACTCGCTGGTGGTAACGGAGGGAGGCACCGGAGGAGAAAGACTTCCCACACTGGCTGCATTTGAAAGGCTTCTCTCTCGCGTGAACTCTCTGATGGTAACAGAAGATGTCACTCCCGGCAAAAGATTTCCCAGCTTCGCCGCACTCGTAAGGCCTTTCTCCAGGATGAACTTTCCGGTGTTTTCCCAGGCTACTGCTGGTGGGGAACGACTTTCCGCACTCGCTGCACTCGTAGGGCCGTTCCCCGGTGTGAACTCTCTTATGACAATGAAGGGCATAGATCCTGGTAAACGATTTCCCGCATTCACTGCACTCGAAGGGCCTTTCTCCAGTGTGAACTCTCCGGTGATAAAGGAGGCTACTTCGCCGGGTGAAAGATTTCCCACAGTCACTGCACTCGTAGGGCTTTTCTCCCGAGTGAGTTTTCTGATGGGAATGGTAGGTGGAGCGACAGATAAAAGACTTGCCACACTCGCTGCATTTATACGGCCTCGTTCCGGCGTGAATGCTGAGATGGTAGCGCAGGCCGGAGCTGGTGGTGAAAGACTTCTGGCACTCGCCGCACTCGTAAGGCCTCTTCCCCAGGTGGCCTTGCTCGTGATACCGCAGGGTGAAGCTGTTGGTGAAAGCCTTGCCACAGGTGCCGCACGCATAGGGCTTTTCTCCCGTGTGAATTCTCTGGTGGCGAACGAGCTTCCATCTGTTATTGAAGGATTTCCCACACTCGCTGCAGTCGTAAGACCTTTCCCCGGTGTGAACGCTGTGATGGCAGCGGAGGGCCATAGGCGTGATGTAAGATTTCCCACACTCACCGCACACGTAAGGTCTTTTCCCCGTGTGAGAGCTCTGATGATAACCGAGGCCCGCGATAGAGGTAAAGGATTTGGCGCAGTAGGTACACTTGTAAGGCTTCTCTCCAGTGTGAACTCTCCGGTAGCGAATGAACGCCGAGCCACGACTAAAAGATTGCGCACACTGACTGCACACGTGGCTGTTCTCCCCGCCGTGGTGCCGAACCCGGGGATACATAACGACGGGCTTGTGGCTGAAGGGTTTTCCACATTTGCTGCACGTGGACTGCCTGGGGCCTGGATGCATTTTTCGATGCTGACTGAGGGTTGAGCTTCCACGGGAGAACTTTCCACTTTCACCGGACATGTGAAAACCCTTTCCTGTGCGGACTCGGGGGTGCCTAACAAATGAGGATTTGTACCTGGACGGTTTTCCGCACTCACTGGACGCAAAACACGGTCTTGCCGTAGGGACGTTCTGGTCCTGGGCAAGCGTGCGTTGGGGGTTGAAATCTTTCCTGCATTCTCCAGAAGGGCCAAGGCATGTCTTGCTCTGTGGAGTTAAACACGGGGGGACTTTGTTTGGCTCCTCCCTGGTTTGAGGGAGCTGTGGCTGCCGATGTCCCAAGCTGGGCAGGAAGTCCCTCTCACCCTGCTCAGAGGTCAAGGTCTTCCCTGACGGGTGGGTGCTGCCGCTCCTCACGAATGAGGCCTTGTCCGCACGACTTCTGAAGGGCTCCCCTCCCATGTGCTGCTCCTTAAGCTGGTGACAGTTTACACCGAAATAAAATCGCCTTGCGCACGCCCCACACCTCAGCAGTTTCTGGCTGTGCTGTGTCCCCTGACGCTCGACCACGTGGAAAATGTCCCTCAAGACCGGCCCGCAACTCTCGCAGGGGTGTCTCTTCTGGGAAGACGAGGCTGTCTGAGGATTCTTCCCCTGTGACATTCCCACAGAAACCCTCTGTTCGCCGGGTGCTTCCACATCGTCGGCTCCACAGCAGCAACCTGAACACAAAGAAACACCGGTGAGATACATGTTGACTAAAGGGAAGGGAGAACCCATCACACATACTCACGTGTCAGCCCGAGCCGGTCTGGCTCAGTGGATAGATCATCAGCCGGCGGACCGAAAGGTCCTGGGTTTGATTCCGGTCAAGGGCACCCTCCTCAGTTGCAAGGTCCTCCCGGGCCCGAGCCCTGGTCGGGGTGCATGCAGGGGGCAGCCGATGGATGTGTTTCTCTAGCATTAATATTTCTGTCTTTCCCTCTCTCTTCCCTCTCTCTAAAAATCAATGGGGAAAAAATCCTCAGGTGAGGATTCAAAACAAAACAAAACAAATTAAGTACCAAGCAAATACTATCATATGTGAAGGCAGAAAATGCAGCCACAGAATGTTCATACAAAACGCCAATATCGCCCTGACCGGTGTGGCTCAGTGGATAGAGCGTCGGACTGCGGACTCAAGGGTCCCGGGTTCGCTTCTGGTCAAGGGCATGTACCTTGGTTGCGGGCGCATCCCCAGTACGGGGTGTGCAGGAGGCAGCTGATCGATGTTTCTAACTCTCTATCCCTCTCCCTTCTTCTCTGTGGAGAATCAATAAAATATATTAAAAAAAAAAAAAACATGCCAATATCCGCCTTTCACCAATGGGTGGATAACCAAATATTGTTTTCAATATGAAAATTTAACAAAGATATATTTCAACTGAATGACACTTTAATCCAAGTGGATCTAACAGACATATAAAGGACATCCCATGCTGTCACAGCACGATACACATTCTCTCAAGTGTACATGGAATATTCTCTAGGATAGACAATTCGTAACAACACGATGTCCCAGGACAGGGGCGACCTGCAGATACTCAACCTCAGGCCAGTCTGCAGTGTGTGGGTTCCTGACCTCATGTAGAAATGATTTTTTTTTTTAAACCCTCACCCGAGAATATTTTCCCACTGATTCTTAGAGGGAAAGACAGAGAGAAATATCGATGTGAGAGAAACACATCCATTGGTTGCCTCCTGCATGAGGCCTGACCAGGGACTGGGGAGGAGCCTGCAACTGAGGTACCAGCCCTGGACCGGAACTGAACCTGGGACTCTTTGGTCCGCAGGCCAATGCTCTATCCACTGAGCCAAACCGGCTAGGGCCGTGGTGGGCAAACTGCGGCTCGCGAGCCACGTGCGGCTCTTTGGCCCCTTCAGTGTGGCTCTTCCTAAGCCTGAGGAGTACCCTAATGAAGTTAATAACAATGAACCTACCTATATAGTTTAAGTTTAAAAAACTTGGCTCTCAAAAGAAATTTCAATTGTCGTGCTGTTGATATTTGGCTCTGTTGACTAATGAGTCTGCCGACCACTGGGCTAGGGCATAGAAATGATTTTACAATACGAGTCCAAGGGATAGTGAAGTATGTGCATAAAAGCTGAGGCAGCCCTAACCGGTGTGGCTCAGTGGATAGAGCGTCAGCCTGCGGACTCAAGGGTCCCAGGTTTGATTCCGGTCAAGGGCATGTACCTTGGTTGCAGGCACAACCCCAGTAGGGAGTGTGCAGGAGGCAGCTGATCGATGTTTCTAACTCTCTATCCCTCTCCCTTCCTCTCTGTGAAAAATCAATAAACTATATTTTAAAAAATAAAATAAATAAAATAAAATAAAAGCTGAGGCAATGCCAGCCGGCGTGGCTCAGAGGTTGAGCATCGACCTATGAACCAGAAGGTCACGTTCAATTCCCAGTCAGGGCACATGCCTGGGTTGAAGACTCAAGCCCCAGTGTGGAGCGTATAGGAGACAGCAGAACGATGATACTCATCATTGATGTTTCCCTCTCTCTCCCTTCCTCTCCAAAATCAATCAATACACACACATACACACACACACACACACACACACACACACACACACACTCTAGAGGCCCGGTTCACAAAATTCGTGCACTGGAAGGTGTGGGGGGTCCCTTAGCCTAGCCTGGTTCTCTCGAAGTCTGAGAGCCCTTGGGGGATGTCCAACTGCTGTGAAGGCAGGAGAGGCTCCTGCCACTGCTGCTGCGCTCGCCAGCTGTGAGCCCGGGTCAGGGCTTCTGGCTCCCACAGGGGGAGCGCACTGACCACCCGGGAGCAGCTCCTGTGCTGAGCGTCTGCCCCCTGGTGGTCAGTGCACATCATAGCGACCGGTCGTTCCGCTGTTTGGTCGATTTGCATATTAGCCTTTTATTATATAGGATATTTAATGTTTTAAATGATTTTTTAGAGAGGGAGAAGGAGAGAAAATAGACACACCCATGACAGAGAAACATTGATTGGCTGCCTCCTGCACACTCCCTACTAGGGATTGCAACTGCTACCCAGGCACCTGCCCTGACCAGGAATGGAACCAGAAACCTCTCGGTGCATGAGACAATGCTCATTCCACTAAGCCAGTGGTTCCCAAACTTATTTGGCCTACCGCCCCCTTTCCAGAAAAAATATTACTCAGCGCCCCCTGGAAATTAATTTTTTTAAAAATTTTAATAGCAATTAAACAGAAAGATATATGTATTAATGTTCTACATTTTTCGTAAAATATAGTAAAGAAAGGTGTAAATTAGAAACATTGAAGTTTGAAATTATGAAACTATTGAACTCAGAATAGAAAGGTAATACAAAAAAAGTTAAAACAAATGCACCTGTGGCCATCACCGCCCCCCTGGATTGCTGCAGCGCCCACCAGGGGGCGGTAGCGCCCACTTTGGGAATCACTGCACTGAGCCATGACTACCGGGCAATGAAGTACAGTATTTAAAAAGCTGGGAAGGGTTTAGGGTAGAAGAAACAAGAGGGGAGAGCTAGCCCAGGGGTGGGCAAACTTTTTGACTCGAGGGCCACAATGGGTTCTTAAACTGGACCGGAGGGCCGGAACAAAAGCATGGATGGAGTGTTTGTGTGAACTAATATAAATTCAAAGTAAACATCATTACATAAAAGGGTACGGTCTTTTTTTTTTTTTTTTTTAGTTTTATTCATTTCGAACGGGCCGGATCCGGCCTGCGGGCCATAGTTTGCCCACCCCTGGCCTAGGCGGTGCTCTGCTTTGTTGCTCTAGAAATGTTATAGGAAAGTCCACACCGTTAAGTGGAAGGTTGCTCTGAGTCTTTGTCCTGAGACCCTCTTATTTTTCCTGCAGGTGAGAACCTTACGGGAGGGTCGACAGAATATCCATGAGCTTTTTGGGTGTTTCTTTGTTTCACTTTAATATATTTTTACTGATTTCGGAGAGGAAGGGAGAGGGAGAGAAACATCAACAATGGGAGAAAATCACTGATTGGCTGCCACCTGCACGCCCCACACTGGGGATACAGCCCGCAATCCGGGCCTGTGCCCTGACTGTGAATCGAACAGGTGACCCCCTGGTTCACAGGTTGACGCTCAGCCACTGAGCCACGCAGGATGGGAGAGTTTATTTTTTATTTTTTATTTTTATTTTATTTATTTATTTTTTAAATATATTTTATTGATTTCTTTCAGAGAGGAAGGGAGAGGGATAGAGAGTTAGAAACATCGATGAGAGAGAAACATCGGTCAGCTGCCTCCTGCACACTCCCTACTGGGGATGTGCCCACAACCAAGGTACATGCCCTTGACCGGAATCGAACCCAGGACCCTTCAGTCCGCAGGCCAACCAACGCTCTATCCACTGAGCCAAACCTGTTAGTGGCGCGATAGTTGATTTTTATTTTATTTTTTTAAAATATATTTTATTTATTTTTTACAGAGAGGAAGGGAGAGGAATAGACAGTTAGAAACATCGATGAGAGAGAAACATCGATCAGCTGCCTCCTGCACACCCCCCACTGGGGATGTGCCCACAACCAAGGTACATGCCCTTGACCGGAATCGAACCTGGGACCTTTCAGTCCGCAGGCTGACGCTCTATCCGCTGAGCCACACCGGTTACGGCGCGATAGTTGATTTTTAAAGTTCGAGGCAGCTGCGTGTAATTGTGGTTATAAAAGAGGGGCTGTTGTAACTCTGTCAGCTTCTTGGTAATTCAAATCTAGGTGAGATTTCTATTTTAGTTAAGTACTCGGCCTCCAGAGTAGCTTTTCTTTTGGTAGGAAAAGCTTCTGTTTCTCTGGTGAAAGTGTCTATAAATACTAGCTTTAGGGGGCACTTGAGTGAAATCAACTTGCCGTTCCTTTCCAGGGTACGTGCCCCCGGTGTTGTACTGGCATCGAGGGGAGAAGGAGGAAGTGACTTTGGGGGTATGGTAGTTCTTAGTCAATATGTCTCTGCAGGCGTAACCGGTGTGGCTCAGTGGATAGAGCGTCGGGGCTGCGGACTGAAAGGTCCCAGGTTGGATTCCGGTCAAGGGCATGTACCTGGGTTGTGGGCACATCCCCCAGTGGGGGCTGTGCAGGAGGCAGCTGGTCGATGTTTCTCTCTCATCGATGTTTCTAACTCTCTATCTCTCTCCCTTCCTCTCTGAAAAAAATCAATAAAATATATTTTTAAAAAAATGTCTCTGCATAATAAGGGAATGGGGCACCCCGGAACTACAAGACATGCCTGAGGGAGATTTCCGAGGCTGCAGCTGAGGGGCTGAGTGTGATGGTACCATTGAGGGTACCACTGAGGATATGTATTCACCCCAGTGGTTGAACAGGCTTAGGAAGAAAGAGGCCCGGTGAGTGAGTCAGAGCAGTGAAAGCAGCCCCCCCGCCCCGCCCCCGCCGTCTAAAGGCAATGCAATGGGCCCGGCCAGCGTGCCACAGTGACGGAGAGTCGACCTATGAACCAAGAGGCCACTGTTCAATTCCCGGTCAGGGCACATACCCAGGTGGCAGGCTCCATCCCCAGTGTGGGGTGTGCAGGAGGCAGCTGATCCACGATTCTCTCTCATCACTGATGTTTCTTTCTCTCCCTCTCTTCCTCTCTGAAATCAATTTAAAAAAATATATATTCAGCCCTAACCGGTTTGGCTCAGTGGATAGAGCGTCAGCCTGCAGACTCAAGGGTCCCAGGTTCG